AGTCTCTCGCTGGGCAGACGGGACGTGAACAGTCTCTCGCTGGGCAGACGGGGCGTGAACAGTCTCTCGCTGGGCAGACGGGGCGTGAACAGTCTCTCGCTGGGCAGACGGGGCGTGAACAGTCTCTCGCTGGGCAGACGGGACGTGAACAGTCTCTCGCTGGGCAGACGGGACGTGAACGGTCTCTCGCTGGGCAGACGGGAGGTGAAACATCTCTCTATCTCCTCCTCTATGACGACCTCCACGGGTCCCGCGGAACTTTACCAACCGGGTCCCCTTAAACAACTCCCTTCTCTCCCGCTCGGTGGCTGGGGAAGAGATGTTGCAAAACATACTGCTGGATCTAGTTGTGACGGAGTCCTTCTGTCACGACACACACACGGGAAACAGGGGTTAGATCCAATCGCAGTATTTTAATGGGGTAATCCGTACTCACAACAGTCCAGGCAAGGGTCAAAATCCATATAAGCAATCCAAAACACAAGAAACAGGCAAGAACACAGAACTCGGAAGTGGTGTAACATAATACAAGGACTCCGTAACAAACACTAAACAAGCAGGGTATATATACACAGAACAAGACAATCATGATGATGGGGAATAGGCTGAGTGCAATGATCAGTGATAAGGAACAGCTGAGTGCAATGATGAGACAAAGGATCGTGGGGAATGTAGTTCATAATGTGAATGACACCGTGAGAACGAGGACCTCTAGTGGACACCAGGAACATAACCAGACACTGTGACACTCTACTCAGATGGGGACAGCCACCGTCACCCAATTCACATGTGCCAGACCGGGCAAGAGGGACTGGACGACACAATATTCAGGCGTCAGAGGACATTGAAGAGTAAATAAAGAGTACAAATAATTAAATAAAAAGGCTAAAAAAAATGAATTTGTTTGTGTGGTGTGTTCAGTGTTAATACAAGATTTGAAATGTTCCATTACTTTTTATCAACGGCTGTAGATACAGCAGGCTATTTAATTTATGGCATTTAAAATTAACATTTAAAAACGATTGAAATTCCATTGAAATCACGTTGATCCTTAGTTCAGTTGAAATTTCAACATTGTTTCAATATTGCTGATAATTGAAATACAATTGAAATTCCGTTGATCTATGGACAGGATTTCAATGTTGTTTCAATATTAAAACAGGGTGCAAAATGATGTAGAATCAACATCAGAGTTCGATGTTGATTCATTGACTTAATGTTGACAACGGAATGTTGATTTAACATAGTTTCAATGACTGTTTGCTATCTGGGTATGGATTAGCCCAGAGCCATAGAGAGAAAGAGTTGTGACACTCCCATAGACCGCCATAGGAACTCTGGAATGCGGAAGTAACGCGAGTCGTGGAGCGGCCAATAGTTCCAAACACTGATAGTTTCTCCATTGAACCCCATTCATTTTCAGTGCTTCCGAAGTACGCTCTCTGGTAAATTAATGAAATTACTGTATTTTTTTACTTTTACACACATTAGCCGACCTCTCGTGAATCTAGTCTGTAGTTATATTTTATGTAGCCAGTTTTAGTAAATGTTTATTGGAAGATAATAGGTTAATTGCAGCTATAGCTTACGTGACCAACACTTCACTAACGTTAGCTAACTTACGGTAACTGATGTATATAATATATAATATTTTTAATAGTATTTTATATGTATGTATATATATATATATATATATATATATATATATAGCCTATATATAATATTATATATACATACACACACACACACACACACACACACACAATTCATTTATTTAAATGGGTTAGGGTTATGCATATATGTGCTTATATGTATTTAGGAACATAGTTAATTCACTCATTAACTATCTCTCCGGTTTAATTTTATGAAGAATATTTTTCGGTTGAATATTTACCGAACATTGCTGTATATAGTCGTTGCTTTCTACGTTATGGGAGCAGTCTATTCCCTCCTAAATCATTCATTTGTTCATGCACAGCGTAATTATTTGTATATTATGTTGGTTGGAGTTCTGAACGGACCGCAGACCTCTTTGCGTGATCACGAAGCGGAATTTATAAGCAAGATCACGGGAATCAATAGCCTAATACAGCCCAGTTGTGCTAAAATAAATATCATGAGACGTCCATCATCAGATGAATGACATGGAAAAGTTAAGTTAGAGCCGCTAAAGCCAGTGGTACTACCCATGCGAACATGAACACTAGCGTTTCCCTCCAAAAATATAGCCTAAAACTTATCTAAGTTGTCATCCTGCCTCTCCAAATGCAAAATGCTATCTGTCCATAGAAGAACATGACAGCCCGCGTATGTTTTGGAACTATTGGGGCTTACATGAACCACGTGACAGCCGTCGCGGCGACATCAAAGCGTGTCGCAACTCTTTCTCTCTATGGCTCTGGATTAGCCTAGATAATGTATTAGCTTAGAGAAATGGTGATTTCAATTGGGGGAAAACAGTTCATATGCAGAGCTACTAAGCTAGGCTACTCTGTTGACATGGTCCTCCCTTGCATCATATTTTTAATGTGAAAGTCTAAGTCGTGTTATATACATTAGGCTAGTACATCCCGGTACAACGTACGCAACAGCACCATTTCTATAGCCTGGATGCCAGCCCGAACCCCGCCCACAACATTTTTTGGTCGGGAAGTTCGGTCTGGACTCGCTCCATTGAGGAGTAATTATGATCAGTCAAAAAATGTTCGGGCCAATCAAATTGCCAGGGCGGGCTTTATACGATGATGGACAGATGATCTGCAGGGACGTATATTCCTCACGTTATCAAAGAGCGCTTAACTGGTTTCCCTTACAGATGACTGCAGCTGGAGAACTGAGATGTATAGATTCCGCTATCGCGTCTGTTGTAAAAGAAATTTTAAGGCTACCATTTCTATGGAAATTTATCAAATAACTCGCGATGTATCAAAGCAAGCCTAGTTGTATCCATTTTTCGGATTCTGCCACCTGTAACCGATAGGCGTGGTTTGGGAGTGGCCTCGTAAGGGCAGCAAAGCAAGTGCTTTCTGGGAGTTGTTGTATTTCAGCCACATGAGTAAAAAATAAATTTTCTGCCTTTTCTCAGTCTAGAATGCTTCAATTTCAAAAATAATTTCACATTGCTACTATATACATGACCAATATTAAATACACATTCATCTTCCCAGAGGTGAAGTATCCCTTTAAGATGAAGGAATGGCTGTCTGAAAATAAGTGTTTATTACAGCTGGGTAAAACAGAATCTATTCTCTTTGGGTTAGTTAAGGAAAGGAGATGATTTAGTAGTTAAAGTTGATGGTTGTGTTCAACAGAACATCGGTCAATTATCTTGGTTGTGTTATGGATGATAATTTAAGTGGTGAAAGTATGGCCTGGAAAGTTTTATGCAAAGTAAGTGCTCGAATTAAATTTATAGCTAGAAAAGCTAGTTTGTTAAATAAAGTTTAAAGGTTCTTGTTACAGGCTTAGTACAAAGTCAACTTAAGTATGTGTGTTGTTCATGGATGACTGATTTATCCAGTATGTGGATGACAAAGTTACAAAGGTCACAAAATACATTTTTGATAGTAGTTTTAGGATATCATTCTTTTACTCGTGTGGATGATGGACACTTTAAGCAGCTTGGATGGTTACCTATTGAAAGACGGTTAGCATTCCTGAAACTAAAAATGGTATATCAAATAATTAATAATAGGGCTCCAGTGTTTTTTAGGTGATATTTTTCTCGGGTTAATGTAAGACATGGACACTATACTATACGAAAAGTATTATGGACAAAGTGTAAAACTTTGTATGGACATTTGAATATACAGGTGCGCAGCAGTGGAGTAAGTTTCCATTGGACTTTAAGGTTGTAAGGGTGGATTTGTTCAGGCTGCAAGAATGCCGAATGACTAAAGAAACGTTATTAGCAAGATGGTAGAAAACTGTGCATTTCTTGTCTAGACTCAGCAAAGAAGGGCCAGAGAATCAAAAAAGCCAGAGCAGCATCTTCTTTTATCCCTTTCCTGACCATGTGACTGGAAAATAAATGTAACTCAACTCAGCGGTGAAATTTATGAGGGCACCATTTCTACTGAAATTTAACCCAGCAGTGGGTTACACAAAACTTAAAAAAAAAATAACCCAACAAAATGACTCAACAGGCAGAACCCAGGAAAAAATTCCCACCAAATTTTAGAGTGAGAGGAGACAGAAAGCTGATATCTTCTAACAAAGCAAACGTGAATGGTGTCGTCTGTTGAACAGACAGTTCTTTTCTTCCCACAGATGCCAGAGGCACACAGAGTTTGCTCCTTTTGCTGTCACTTAAAAATGTTTTATGATGCTGTTAGTGTACTTGCTGTTAAATAAAATGATTTGATTTAGACTGTTTAATGTCCATTCACTTCCTAAATTACCAATATATATATATATACTTAAATAATTTATATAGCCTAAATAAAATATATAAATAACATTTGCTTGAAATGGAAATAACCCATAATGAGCTAAAATTAGCCCAGCGTTTAGTCAGTGTGAGCTGATTTTGGGTTAAATTGTGCAACCCAACCCTGCTGGGTTAAAATGTTTAACTCAACTTGCTGGGTTATTTTAACTCAGAATTAGTTATGTCCGATATTTACCCAGCTAGTGCTGTGTTGCCAAATTAGTTATTTTAAACCCAGCCATTTTTGGAGAGTAGGATCTGTAGAATGGGTTTGCCAAAACGGTTAACCAAAGAAAGTGATTTCTTGCTACAGTATAATTGATTTATCTCAAATGATAACCTCATTGTTAGAAATTTGCTTGAGCATGTGTGTGAGACAACATTTGAGATATGTTAACAAAGTGCAGCATGGATTACAATAGGTAATGATTGCATTATCATCAAAATGCTTCTGGCGAAGTAGTGGGAGGGAGACAAAACGGTTTTCCACAGAAATCCAAGGAGACCCAACCTGTTTAAGTTCCTGATTCTCTTTTCTTAGTAACTGTAGTTCCTTGGGGACGTCACAAAGAGTCCTAAACCCAACCCTTTCTGAACAGACATAAAAGAAACTGAAGCATTACTTCTGTATAGTCATTCAGCTCCTGACACAAGATGAATCTGCAGGTCTCCGTCCTTCTTCTTTTCATTTCTCTCACTGGAGGTACAGAAAACAGCAAGTATTGAAATGTATTATTTGCTAATCATACTGTAGAGCTCTAACTCAATGTCTCTCTCTGTCTGTAAGGTTATTCTCTCAAGTGTTACTCCTGCACATCTATGTTGGGTTCCTGTGAACTAAAAGAAGAGACATGTGCAGATGGACTTTCTAAATGTTACAGCTCTACGGCTGGTAAGTCCAGTATAATGTGGAAATCTGCTGTATAAGTGATACCACTAGAGAAAGTTTCCACTTGTTAACTTGGGGGTGGTCGTGGCGCAGTGGATAAGACACATGCCTTTGGTGTGAGAGACCCGGGTATTCACTGTGAGACACCAATGTGTCCCTGAGCAAGACACTTAACCCCTAGTTGCTCCAGAGGCGTGCGACCTCTGACATATATAGCAATTGTAAGTCGCTTTGGATAAAAGCGTCAGCTAAATGAATAAATGTAAAATGTAAATGTTAACTGCTAATTTTGGAATTGTTTTATTCTCTTATTATATGGACATGTATGTCTTTTTTACAGGTTCCGTCACAACTAAAGGGTGCATAGATCGATGTGAACCAGGGACAACAACGCTACTAGGAGTGAAAGTGACTACGAGCTGCTGTGACACTGATCTTTGCAATGCTGCAGGTATTGGCCTTTGTTTGTTAATGCTAACAGTTTGATTTCATCCAAAGTAACTTAAAATTAGGAAATTATACTAACAATAATTCAATATAATGTGCATCGGAATTTTTTTACTGGAGAAAATTAGGGGTGTTCCCGAAGCCAAATACCTTACCTAAAATCTCTATGCAATAATGAGTGAAGTGAATGAGTGAGAGTAAAAATTAAATGAGCCATCTCTCAGAAATCAGAGCTTGGCAAGAGTAATATCAACTCAAATAGGCTACTACATGTTCTACGATATGATATTGTATATTTGTGCGTGTATATTTAAATGATTTAAGCCTTGTACAATATGATACTTTAATGAGTGGAATAAGCACAGCACGATCACAAACCAAACATTGTAATTTCCATCTCTGCGCGTCTCCGTCTCTCAGCCTATAATCAACTAAGATTTATATACATTATTTACAACTTGATATGTCTATTTGAATGTTTTAAACTTCGTATGATGTGATAAGCTACATGATAGATGTCTTTGTCTCAGTCTCTCTTGAAGCTGATCCTCGCTGTCCTCGTGAGTATTTGACGCTCGAACTGAGTTTTTTTCCCACTGCAACTCTGCTGGCGGCGCGTCGACTCATTTTACTGTGTGGTTACAAAGTATATTACAATGGCATCGAACACAGCTCAGCCAATAATAATCAAGAACTGGAAGTGTCCGTTTTTATTTCTATGTGTTTTAGACACTTTTGTCTGGCTATAGCATGAGAAAACAATACATTTAGCATAATGCTGCCATCAACGTCTTTTTAAGAGACATCCCTGCTTATTTCAGCAACACAATGCCAAGATTCATTCTGCACATGTTACAACAGAGGCTTCATAGTAAAAGAGTTCAGGTACTAGACCTGCAGTCAGACCTGTCTCCTATTGAAAATGTGTGGTGCATTATGAAGAGAAAAATACAACAACAGAGACCACAGACTGTTGAGTACTGAAGGTAATTTATCAATAAGAAAGAAACTTTAACTTCAACAATTAGTGTCAGTCACTTCTAAAACACTTACTGAGTGTTGTTAAAAGAAAAGGTGATGTACACACTGAACGTATTTTAAAAACAAACAAAAAAAAACAACAAAGTTGATCACTTTGAACATTTAAAAAAAAAAAAAAAAAAATCCACTGCGGGACTAATAAAGGATTAGACCCACCTGAGCTAGACAGTTCACTCCTATTAATTATAAATAGAAGAAACTGTCCCGCCTTCTAAGTAAAGGAGCCAATTGCTGATAGGTAAAGCTGTTAGAAGCTCCGGTTCCCATAGGAACCTGAGATTCGGCTTAGGAGAGCACATGCGCATTAGCTCGTCTAGCCTGAAAAGTAAGGGTTTGGTGGGGGCTAGCACTTATTTCCAGGGATTTCAATACAGCGTTACAGATAATGCATCATCGGGAAGGCGTGGCCTATTGGAGAATCTGCATAGGTCAACGATCATGCGCAGTTTGGGAAGAAAGGCGTTTGCTTCAGATGCCTGACCGCGATTGCGGGTGTTTCGTGTCAGATTACATTCATATTGTTATAATTACATTCAGACTATAATAACTTCAGATACCTGTCCTGATCGCAGGGGTTTCGTGTCAGATTACATTCAAAACTGTTATAATTACATTAATACTGTTATAACTTCAGATACCTGTCCTGATATCAGGGGTATCTCAGGGGTTTCGTCTAAAACACGCGAATATCGCGGTTGCTGCGGTTACTTGCATTCCTCTGCGGTTGGCTTGTCATTTCTACAGTATTGCAGTTAGCGCAAAAGCCCTAGCTTTCTGTCCCTCCACTGAAAGTCTACCAAACTAGCACGTTCAAGGCCCAGAAAGGTAGTAAAACATCATTAAAATAAACCATGTGACTCTGGTTTAACCTCAATTTAATGAAGGAACATGAGTGCTTTGTTTATGGAATATTGTTTTTACCCCTTTATGTACAGAATACTCATCTCCAAACTCATCACCAGTATGGTGAACAAAATGTGTAGATTCCAGGGTTTCCGTTGTCCGGTAATTACCGGACATTGACCGGGAAAAAAATGAAATGTCCGACAAAATTAAATCTCTCCGGTCAAATTGTCCAATTAAAATGGCCTAATAATCCCGCCCCCCTAACACAATATGAATCTGAGAATAAGCCTAAAATGTATAAAGCAAAAATACACCGACCGATCAGAAGGATTATTTGCTATTTTACAAGCATTGAGTCTGCGGACACCGCTCCTCTTATCAATGCCGTAAGCCTGCGCCGTCATGACAGTGCTCCTATGGAGGATTGCATTTCTCCACAGCCTGCAAAGTCCTCATATGTGATTTCAACGAAATGTATCCAGTAGGGATGCTCATTTCGGTTCATTTTCCCGACCGACAACCGCCGCTCATTAATCGATTATTAACCGTTAACTGATAAGATTATAATATTGAATTGGCATTAAATAAAATTGACGCGTGTCTGTGACCCGTTAAAAATATAAACATTTTTTAATTTTTTTTATCAAAGGGTTTATTTTAACGTGCAAAGTGCAAACAGCAGCATACAGAACAGATCAACAACAGAACCTGGATTCAGATCACATTTTCACGCACCTGCAGCATTTCTGACAGTGACAACAGAGAAAAACAGAATAAAATAATACAAATAAAAAACATAAAATTGGCCAACACTAAATATATTTAAATATATATAAATATAACTTAAATAATTAACAAATTACGTTGGACAAAAAGAAAGCACTGAATCCGTTTGAACGAAGCTTTCAAAAACCGGCATTTTTTTTTCGTTAGACTAAGATTTTTCCTTAAATAAAAATAGCAGCCCTACCTCAATCCACACCTTGTCTAATTTTTATTTTAAAAAAGCAACATGTCAACGTGATGTGGGGTTAGTCTTATGGGAAAAGTGTCTTTTACTACCATTGAACAGATTCTCTGCGTTATCTCCTTAGATCGCATCTTCTCCCTGATAACACGGTGGGCAAAGTTTGTTGTCCTTCATCACTCGATCACTCGAAGCTTGTGGATGTTTGCTTCGCAAATGATACTGCATCGTACTTGTACTACTACTGTATTTTAATACCGCGCAGCATATTTTACAGGTAACTTCGTCGCCCTTTCTGCTGAAATGGTCCCACACAGTACTTTTCGCTCGCTTAATTTTGCTTGCTCGGAAAAAAATGTCTGCAGGCACGTGTGTGGTTGCGCGTGTCGACGCGCCCCACGAGTTAATAACTGTAGACTATATAGTATTTTTTTTTAACCATGCAGCAAACTAATTGAAAAGAAGCTTTAAAAAAAAAACGTTTTAAACTGTTTAACTGATAGTAGCCTATTAATCGGTCAAAATTTTTACTTTCGGTTAATGGTTAAACGGTCAATATGAGCATCCCTAGTATCCAGAGTGGACCAAGCTCGCCAAAGATAGCCTGTGTAATCCCTGTCTCGAGGGTTCCTGCAGAGAGGGGGTTCTCGCTGCAGAATCGGATAAAGACGAAGCAGCGAAGTCGCCTTGCGCCTTGCTTAACAAGGTTACGCGGCTTATGCGCATTGCAAGTTGTGGAGAGACTGGGAAGTTTTGATTTTAAGCCGGCAGCTGCACAATTCAGCACTGCAAAACAGCGTAAAGTAGCCTAAAATGACGCGAGACAATGTTATAGGCCTAGTCATTTGTTTGTTCCAGTTCATTTGACAAGGGGTCATTTCACAGTGGCCAGCTAAATGAGACATACTGAGAGTGTATAATTAAGTTCGCTTGAGTAAAAACAATAGGCTACTATTCAGATATTTTATGTGGGGAAGGGGGATTGGTTTGTTGAACTATGAATGTGAAACCATAGTAAAAACAATTGGCGTTGTTTGACGCCAATCGGACGTTCATGTTTTTTTCCGTCTATTTGAAAGTTAGGCTAATAAACATGTTGCATTGAATACGGCCTGATTATGTCATTTTTTAAGTTACATAGCCTGCCTCCAGGTTTCCTCAACTTGACTAATTAAGAGGCGATATTTGACCGGCGTATCATCAAAACGTCCGTAAAACGAAAACTCTGCTGGTCACTTTGTCCATTTAGATAAATACCAAATCATCTGTTGTGGGTGTCTTCTTGTAGGTCTTTCCATGCTGACACACATATATCACCCTTATTTTCACGGAGAGTGGGACGTGTTCTGAATAGTCTTCCACTTGCCATAGACATAGTGGTGTCACACTGTTTTCTGTGACTTCCATCAGACCTGTTATGAGGAAAATTAAAAGACATCATTAAGAATGACATAAAAATGTTAAATTATAGGACAAGCCCAGCGATAATAAATGCAGTAACAAATGTATTGAT